CCAGCAGTTGGCAGCGTCTGCACGGGTCGCGCTTAGGCGCTGTCTGGGAGCCGATGACCGTCAGGGTCGTTACGTTTTCGTTTCCCAGCCTTAGCTTGTTTACAACGCTTCCCAGTCCTTAATCGCTACATCTGATCAGGCGCACTGCCCCAGTGTAACAACGGTACAGTGCCTGCCCACCACTGCCTTAGACTTGCGCGCTGAGAATAATTTGATTCCGCTGCATAAGATTTTTTTTCTTCTCACGGGGAATAAATAGAATGCGAGTTCGCTGTGCTACCGGTGATTTGGCCTTAAAGACTCTGCGATAACGTTGGCGATGGTGAACCATTGCCTGCATCTGCACCACAGCTCAAATCGCAAATGAGAAATATCCCACCCCCACCCGCCCCCCCCCCCCCAATAAATTACCAAAAAAATAAACCCCGGCCTACGTGAGTCTCCCTTTGCAGGCACACCAATACACCCGAACCCAGCGAGATGAATGGCACCAGTTAGTTAGACAGTTAGAAGTGATGCAGATTTAATGCTGAGCCAACCAAAGTGCAGGTGGGCGCTCAGATAAGATGCAAACATAGAAAGCCTTCGTTTGGTCGCCTGAGCCTCCAGCGGTAGCAGTGAACACTGGGAATGCTGAGATTGCCTGAGCCCAGCTGAGCTTTTGGCACCTACCATGAATCGTAAAGAGTCCTCGCATTGGTGACACGACTCTGGCTGGCTCTCCCCGAGTCCCCCCAGCAGTTGAGAGCGAAACTTCACGATTCAAAAAGTTGCGTTGGTGCGGACGAGCCTCGTGTACCGACACCGACTCTCAAAAAATCCCAAAGATGAAAAAAGGGCACTTTAAACCGACTCCTTAAGCCGTGGGTACTAACACCTTGTTGTTGACGCCGCCACCATGCGTGCTGCTTCAAGCTCGAGGTCACGGAAGCCGTTTACCTCATTACGTCCCCCACGTCATCAAACAGAACACCACCCTCTGTGCTCCCAGAGCAACTGTGTAAAAAAATGCAACGTACGTAGGTGCGCACTCGCGGCTCTCACAGGTCACCGACCTCCCTTTATATCGCTCTTTGGAGTCGAAGACGTGAATCCTGGTGATCTGCGAGTGCCACCGCTTTTGGTGCGTACGCCGTCAATACATTTCCTGTTCGCCGCTCCTCCATCTCGCGAGTTTTCAAACGCCACAACAAACGAGTTCAAACAAGCTTGTTTCAACAAAGTTAGCTTGCACGGAGAGGGGGGGGGGAGCCCAGAAAAACACCGTCTGCGTACACACAGCTGAGAAACATGAACTCATCGCACGGTCACAAGCAAAGCAGGTTAGGGTTCGGGCTCGAGTGTTTTTCAAGGCGGCACGGAAAATGGTTTGGTCGGGTGAATTACGATAGGGCATCCCGTGCCTGCAGGCTACAGCTCAACTTCAAGAAAGCCGAATGAATCTCTAAGGGCCACTGGGGCAGTATATGGAGTTGGCTTTAGTGCGAGCGATCAACCTGAGGCCCTGTGTAATGTGTGAACATTGTAAAATGGGTTGTCGGGGTGGCGCTTGTGGTTGGGGCCACTGAGTCAGTTTGCAAAGGACTTGACTCTTTGATTCCAATCAACGCTTGGTAAATCCCGTGGTAAATTCATAAAGTATACTTTATGAGTATAGCCCATCTGGAAGTTTAACCCACAATCTTTCGAATTTGAGTCGTGCCCTATAGCCACCAGTGCCACCCACCCTGACGTCATGAACATTAGTTACAACGAAGAAGAGTGGGCTTTGGGCAGGGATACATGTGCTGAACGTCTGTGAAAAAAGAGCTTTCATAGCTCATGGGATTCCTTCACCCCAAATAAAAACTCTCACTCTGAAAAGTAGACGCCGACATATTGCTAGAAGGAACGATGGCCGATTGTCCAGAACGGTGGCCGAGTGGTCAGCCACGGAATGGAACATTCAAGAGGTGACACTGGCCCTGGTTTGCCGGTGCTAAGTGAAATGATTTAATCTCGCGAGCATGAGAGATGGCGACAGCTTGGAGATGCTTTCATCCAGCAGTGGATTGACCATGGATGACGATGATAAAAAAAGAATTCGGAAAATGTAGAGCTGCAACTATAGGACTGCATTTAGCCCAGGGCATCCCCTTAAAAAAAAGTGTGGGGACTCAAAATTATGTATGGGCGCTCAGCAGATTAAATGTAGGCTGTCGCGATCAATATTATCAATAACAGTGTGTTTTGGTTAGATCGCGTGAACATAAATGTGTCGTTAAACCCCCCACCACCCCGACGCAGCCAATTAGTAAGGTTTGTCACGTCAACAAAACGCAGCCCCAATTCGTGACGAGCGCAGCACACCGCTGTGTTCTGTGAGTAGACCCACAGCGCGCGCAATTGCACAGTGGCGGGTCTCACGTCACATTCACATTCACGCGATCTACCTCCACGCACACCCCCCAATGGATAAGTGTGGACACTTGGTATGAGCCGGTGGGGCACCACCACCCGGCAGAGCGGCCGCGTTGGTCTGCCCCGTCTGCGAAATCCACCGCGTGGATTGTCCGAGTCTGGGCGACCCTCCTCCTCCCGCCAGGCAAAAGCAGAGCGGCACTGTACATCGAGTAGGGCCCATTCACTGTGCCGCACTCAAGGCTTGCACACGCGCATACGCGCACACACAAATACAAAGATCCCCCGTATAGCCTTAACAGACTGTTGGGGCAAGTGCTGTTAGCGAGCAGCACCGATGAAGTGGTGGCATACGAGGGGGTGGAGTGGCCAGCACCACGTCCGACCGCCTTTGTCTCCCCAGCGGCGATGATTTATTTAAACACCGCACCAGGCACTCATTTGAGGCTGAGTCGACCTAGGGGAGGCCCGGGACCCGTTCAAATAATCGTCGCTGGTGTTGACCGTGAGCAGGGTGCACACATACATACATGGACACACACATACATGGACACACACATGCCTTCCCCCCTCTCTCTCTCACTAGCCCTCGGCCAAACAGCGTGACTCATTCATAAAACGATGTTGAAACTAATCCCGGGTATGCAAAACAATGGAGGTGCTACTTCAAAAAAAGCCAGCGGCCGGCCGGCTGCGGAGAGAGAGAGAAGCCATGAGTCACAGGGCAACTTCAAAGTGTTGCCGCCGCCGCCACGCTCTTCCCAAATAGTGATGCGGTTCAGCCAAAAAAAAACTTGCCAGCTCTTTTACAAAAACATGTTTACTCAGAGGGGATTTTTTTCTCTCTCTCTCTTTGCCCACATACTTTTCCACTCGAAAGATCAAAGAACTATTAAAAAACCTTTAACCTTTGGAAGGTATGCCGATGGAGGCAAGACAAAGTTTGTTTCGTGCCTGTTGTTTTTGGCCAGTGGGAGAGCGAGCGAGCGGGAGGGCACGGCAGACAGGAGCCGTGGCATCTGCCGAGTGCCCTGCCACCAACAATCGCCACGGCCGCTCCTACCGCCCCCACCACTTCTTGTTACGAAATCCACAAACACCCCGAGTCGTACCTTCATCCATGGGCGGAGTTGGGGAAGGGCAAAGCGAACCACCCCCCTCTCCCAGGTAAACTAAACTCCGCCGATGCCTCCGTCCCAAGTTTTGCGTAAAAAAATAAATCCCGTGCCACGTCAGGCCGTAAACCGCACAACACGTGCTGCTCAACGTGTTCGACATCAATGGGAAAACTTAAACTCAAACCACGAACCCAGACGCCAGGCCAAAAAAACAAATCTCGCGCACGGTCGGGCCAGCGGTCGCGTGGACGGGCCAGCGGACGGGCCACGGACGAGCCAGCGGAACGCGCCAGCGGAACGAGTCAGCGGCCACGGCGGCGGAAAAGGAGAGGATGCTTCAGACCCACGACGCGGCCAGGAAGGGGTTAAAGTGCGGCAAGTTGCACGGTCGCGTGAATGGAGGCCGAGGCTGTGCACGGTGGGAAGGAGCCGACACGGACCACTCGAAGTCACACCCACCACCACCACTGTGTCACCGCGCTCTCTCTCGCCTACTCCCGTCAATGGGCGAGTGTGGCTCTTCAAGCAGCTGTTGCCGATGCAGTGACTTCCACTTCACCCACCCCTCCGCCGCCCCACCCTTACCCCAACCTCGCTTCCGATCGCAATAAAAGAGATGGGCCTCCCTACCTACGGTCCACGCCTGTCGATGGCCACCGGTCTGTCGGCCTTAGGCTGCACTGATGTACGTGACGGCGGCGACAACGAATAAATGCGTAAAATTTGCTGAGGCCACTGCAGTCTAAGAGGTGGGCAAATAAACACGTTTCTGGCTTTGTTACAGGGTAAATAAATACACGTAATGCAAAAAAGCCATAAAAGGGAAGTTATTGCTGGTAACCAAGACAAGCGTGATGATTAAATCACTGCAAACACTTCCAGATAGCAGCGTTTAGACCACGTGAGGCCTTAGCAGGCAGAGCCAACACAGCCCCAAGAGCTGCTACTCGCAACACTTTGCAACACGCACAGGCGCATGGTGCGGCGGGGACACTCAAAACAACTGCACAGGCCCATGACACCAACAGCACCCGACTGAACACCGCGCCACGTTCCTCGGGCAGGCGTGAGGTCGTGGCTTCCGCACGCTGCACCGCACCGGGAACCCGCGACTCCACCGCGAGAGCTCGGATTGTAAAGGGCGCCTCGTCTACAGGCAAAGCGCACGTTTGGTGACGACGAAAACCCGACACTCTATAAAAGATCCTCCCCCGGGCTGCAGCAAACAACCGACTGTTTGCAAGCGGCGGCGCAACGTGAAATGTGCCGCGCGCGAATGCTGATGTTGAGCGCTTGGGTTCTACGTCAGGAATTACGAAAAATAAACCGGCCTGCCCCTGCGAGTTCACAAAAAAGCGACACACCGACGGCGACCGACAACGGAGGGACGACCCCTCCGGCAGGTTACTTTAATCGATCCTTGCCCGAATTCGAGGAGGGGGTGGAATCATTCGACGTGCGGATCGACGGGACGGCACTTACTCTCGTGAGCGGTGGCCGCGGCTCTCGGGAAGTCCATGCTGCTGTAGGGGCCGTAGTCCCCCTTGGCCGCGTTGCTGCAGTTGACGTGCGTCGACCGGCGCCCGCCGGCCTCGTCGCCCGCCGCCGTCGCGGTCGCGCCGTCGTCGGACACCAGGAACGCGATGTAGTTGAGGCCGTTCTCGAAGCCGGCCGAAGCCTTGCGCGACATCGTCGACAGGCCCTGCTCCATCGCGCCCGTGCCGCCGGGCGAGGAGGCCGACGCGCACACGCTCTCGAAGGAGCCGTGGTGCTTGGCATCCTCCAGGAGCGACCAGGACTGCGAGCCGAGCGTCGTCGACGCCTTGGCCGCCGGCGCCGACGACACGGAGGAGAACGTCTCGGAGCTGTGGCGCCGCCGGCCCTGCTCGTTGGCCCGGATCACCTTGGCGCCCTCGTCCGGGTTCGAGACGGCGAAGGTGGGCGTCCCGCCGGGCGCGTGCTCGACGAGCGACAGCCGATTCATCCCGGGCGCCAGGCCCACCGCCCTGGCCGCTTCGGGCTTCGGGGAGAGCAGGGGTTTTGACGCGGAGGGCGGAGGAGCCACCTGGAAGGTCATTTCCGTGTAGTCGCTCTCCGCCTCGTACAGGGGCGTGGGCAGATGCGTGCCGCCCACGTGCACCGGCTGGTAGCCGAGGCCTGCGCAGGGATCCTCAGGTGAAAATGGGCCCGGCACGGACCTCGGGGACACCGGCTCGCCCGCCGGGAGCTTGGCCTGGCCCACACAATCGAAATTTCTGGGGCTTGGTCTCCAGCTTCCGTTCATCCCGTAGCACGTGGGGGAGTCAGTCGTGGTGCTTTTCAGCGACGGTTTGCCGAGGTCTGCGGGGTCAGAGTTCGACACGGCGCAGTCGACCTTTGCCCTGAAATGGATGTTGACGTACTCGCCGGGGCTCACCGGTTCTGCGACGCGGTGAGGCTCGGCGCCCTGCTCCTGGGGCTCAGGTTTGATGCGGCTGAGGAGCAGCTTGCTCGGACAAATAGTTCTGCCGCTCTGCTTTTTCGCCGCTCTCCTGATGCCAGAGCCAGATGTGGAGGGCGTGCCGTCGCTGGTCAAACTATCGTTGCTCGAAGACGAAGACTTGTCGCCGCCGAACAGGATCTCCTGTCTCGTTTTCACATTTGCGGGGTCGCTCTCGGGCGCGCAGGGCTGAACGACGCTGTACTTTCTCGTGGCTGCCTTACACGAGTGAGGCAGTGCGTTATAGAGGTAGCTTACTTTCTCAGTCCCAGCCATCACCGGCGCATACATCTCCTCCGGCGTCGAACCCATCACTCCGCCGGGCGACATGTTCATGTAATGACCCGACATGTTGCCCACCCCGTCGTCTGCGCTTCCAGAAGACCCCACGGGGTTGCTAGCGTTCGCCCATTTCACCACGTACTCCTGGCCCGCGTCGGGAGAAAAGTTTCCGCCGTTCAAACCGGGAGACATCATCATGTAACCGTCGTCCGTAGCGGAGGTCCTCTGCCTGGGATTCACTATCTGCTGGGGGGCCGAGACACTCTTGGGACTCATCGGGACGTAGTCGTCGTGACGCCCGCTCCCGGCAGCGTTGCAGCAGCCGAGCTGCGGAGGCGGGAGCTGAGCGACGCCGGGCGACATCGGCATGTACCCGTCGTCGTCCTTGAGCTTGCCGGCCGTCACCAGGGCCACGTACTCCTCGTGCCGCGTGACCCGCGCCGCCGGCAGGCTGGCCGGCCTGGGCGACACCGAGTAAGACATGCGGCCCGGGTAGCCGCCGCCGCCGCCGGGCGTCATGGGCGTGTATTCTTCCAGAGAGCCGGCCGCGGCCTGCGAGGGCTTCTGGTGGAACGCCAGCGGCGGCGCGGTGCAGGAGGAGTACCCGCGCTTCGAGTGCAACCCGGGCGCCTTCTCGCCGTCGACCTCTTCCACAGACGACCGCTTGGCGCGCCCCGCGGGGCCCGCGTAACCGCAGCCCGGGTCCATGGACATGTAATTGTCGGGCTCCTGCTCCTCTCTGACGGGTGGCGTGCGACCCAGGGACTCGGGCGTGGCGCTGCGGTTGCAGTGGTTCTTGAAGTCGATGGGGCTGGAACCGTACTCGTCGGACGAGATGAAGCCGCCGTCGCTGTAGGAGCCCGACACGGAGGTGCTGGAGGGGCGCGCGTACAGCGTGTCCGTGGTGGAGCCCAGCCCGCTGCTCGTGGACGACATGCTCACGGGGCTGGTGACGTGCGACGTGGGGGACGGCGCCGCGGGCACCGACACCGAGCGGCCCGTCACGTTCAGCAGCGGCTGCAGCTTGGAGCTCTTGCGCAGGGAGTGCGGGTAGCCCCCGATGAACGCCGTGGGGCTGACGCTCACGGGGCTGCCGGCCACCGAGTAGGGCCTGCAGGCTGCGCGGTCGCCCTCGCTGGCCGTGCGCACGCGGATGCCGGCGAGGCCGGCCTTGGTCGCGGGCGACGAGCAGGCGGCGTTGAGGCTCTCCGTGCGCGAGCGCCGCGTCAGGCCCGTCTTGCTCGGTGGGAGGCTCTTCATGTGCCTCCGCTGCGGCACCGAGATGGGGTTGGTGGAGCTGCTCGACGCCGAGTGGCTCTTGCTGCGCGGCCTGAAGTCCGGGAACTCGCCCATCGCCTTCATGGCCTCCAGGATGGTCTCGTGCAGGTTCTGCGCCACCACGCAGTCCTCTACCTGCATCCAGAACTCGCCGGGCCCCGTGACGGCCGAGCGGCCCAGCTCGATGAAGAAGAGGTTCTCGGAGTGGCCGCACCGTCTGATGTTCATGAGCTGCAGGGCCACGTCCGGCGTCACCGAGTTCAGCTTCACGAAGCTGATGGTGCGCGCCGAAAGGCACAGCCGGTACACCCCGCACATGTTCCTGCTCTGGCCGAGTCCGCGCGGCTTCAGGGTCACCTGCCACACCTCGCTGGAGAAGGTGCCTGCCTGCGGCGAGGAGGCGGCGGTGGGGACGGCCCCGTATATGTCGTCGGAGCACAGCTTCTCTTCCTCCGCTCCGCCCGCTCCCCCTCCTCCTCCCGACGTTCCACCGCCTCCGCCGCCACCCCCCCCGACCCCTCCCGCGCCCCTCGCCGCCCCCACGGCGGCGCGCGGCTTCGTCACCCCCCCGGCGTCCCCGGGCGCGTGGGGCGGCAGCGAAGCGCGAGCCTGCGCCAGCAGGTCGGAGAGGGCGCGGTGCCACGCGTCCTGCTCCTGCTCGCTCTCGGCCGCCACGGCGAAGTATTCGTCCTTGGTGTAGAGCGCCACGAGGTAGCGGTGGCGCGCGTCGGCGCGCCTGCTCACGCACAGGCACGTGTGCAGCGCCACGGAGCGCTTGGGCCCGCCCGAGCGCTGCCGCCACTTGCGTTCGCTCTCGTAGTACTCGAGGCGTCCCGCGGGGCTGGCCGGCTCAGGCCCGCGCAGCACGAAGAAGCGGCGGTGCGCGCTCTTCTGCTTGCGCAGGTAGCCGCACTTGAGGACGGCCGCGGGCCGCTCAGCCGCGGGTTCTGCCACGTTGGGCATGCTGGCTCTGAAGGTGCAACACGCACACATGCAGATACAGGTGTTACTCTTGCTAGTAACGCCTACGCGGCAGAGGTTTCCTCACGACACAGACGCGGCCACCTCCGAGTTGCACGGTTGGCTACGTACGGTGCGAAAGAGGTTCCACCTACATGCATACGTTCCGTGATACACAGACGAATACTAACTCTGGCACAGACAGTCACCCAGATACGCACACACAGTTACTCTGGTGGACACAGTCACCCAGATACACAGACACAAAGTCACTCTGACACAGTCACCCACATACACACAGTCACTCTGACACAGCCGTTTAGTCACCACGACACACAGCCATATATAGTCACCCTTAACATGCTTAAAATGCGATGTAATGCATTGCTCCCATCGTGTAATGCTCATCACAAGGGAATTGCAATCAAGAGGTCGCCGGTTCAATCCGTCCTCCTGGCGTGCCAGTTGAAACAACGGTGCGAGTTTCTTAAAATCCCACACACGCTCCTTTCCCGACCAGCAGCGTGAAGTGGGTCAGCCGCAAGGGCTACCTGTGGTGGGGCAAAGTTTGGGTACTTTCAAAATGTACGGCCGGCGTGGAACAATTCAAACCAATACCCGAGGGTGGCTCTCAAGAGCTCCCTCGAGCCTGAGGCTCTTCACTCGGCAGCGGCGTGCGCGAGCAATTGCAGGGCTGCACCTTTATCTCTCGCCAAAAGCATGTTGTGCAGATGTATCGCATAATGCACCGCACAGACATACATTGCACGCATACTTCAGGCGGGCTATTAACAGCGATACAACGCGTAGCGTGCATACTTTTACAAATATATAACACTCTTACACACGGATACATTACAACACATGACACACGTACATAACAAACGTGCAGATACACTGTGACACATAACACAGATGCATAACGCGTTCACACAGATGCATAACAACACTAAAACATACACATGCATACAATCAACACAACCATCACGTACAGTATACTGTATTTTACAGATACATTACAAACACGTGCATTTTGCATGTACATAAACACACATATGCGGTGCTGTACAACACATATCAATTACAGAAACGGATTACACACAGCTGTAAACAGATATATTAACTTACACACCAGAGTACATTGTATGCACGTAGCCAAACCGTGCTAATGGGAACCCGTGTTAACAAAAAAATAAGCATACGCATTAATGAAAACGACTAAAACTACATTAAAAACAACACATACTGTATTACACTCAAAATTCAAACACGTGTATCCCAACGTACATCAAATACTGCCAGCTAACACGCTCGTTCCGCCCATATTATAATCACGCATCGCCACATTCGCGATGCATTGCACACACTGGCAGTGAGGTATAGGGGGCGCTATCGACAGAGGCTGGTCTCAGGACCTAAACGTGAAAATGACCTCCCAGGTCACTCGGGCCAGGTCACTCCCTCCAGCACCTCTCAAGAGAGTTGTGGTTCCTCAGGACCATCACGGGGTCCGCGAAAAAGGAGGATGTGATGCAGCTTGAGCCGGACAATAACGACGGTGTATTGTTTGGGATATTAAATCTGTTACTTTACTTACGACGTTGAATTTAAAAAAGGAAGTTAGGTAAATTACACTGATTTTAACTACCCTAGCCCTAACATGTAAATTCCTCGCCCCTCCCCTTTAAAAAATAAATCTTATAGCTGCGTAAAATAAAATAAAAACCACGTGTTTATGTTCCGGTAATATAAATCATGTCGTATTGCTGGCATTTAGAGAGAAGCGATTGCGTTTTTGTCACCAGGGGTAGTGGTGGTGGGGGGGGTGGTGGTGAGGCTGGGTGGTGTTGCACAGAAATGTTTGCATCGGCTGAGCGGTCCGTGAGCCAAAGGAAGTTTTGAGAAAGAGCGGGTCTCAACACCATGTGTGTGTTTTTTTGCGGATTTATGAGAAAAAATGTTACGTGGTTCTGCGAGGCCACTACTGGGTCAGTTCGGGTGAGTGAAATCTGCGATGGTTGCGGATAATTTGGATAAAGTTGCCACGACCTCTGGGTTACTTCTCTGATTGGCATTTTTTTTGTGTTGTTGCGTGAATAATAAGCGCAATGAAAAAATGTGGATAATGGGAAGGTCTGCACATCGATTGGGAGGCAGTTCCAGAAACAGTGTGGATAATATAGGGGCGAATTGAGAGGAATTGCACTGTATGCCACACATGCCTATAGGCACACAAACCCATTGCTCATGCATGTAGCCTCTCTCGCTGACATAAACATGCATCACATGCGTAGCAGACTCAAGACACACAAACACTGGCAGACACACGTGCACAGGCACACTAAGCCAAGCATCACAGAGATACAGGCCAAGGGCATATTTAGACACAGACACAAACCAAGCATCTTAGTAACAGACAGACCAAACATTGCAGACACAGACTAAATTAGACATTTCAGACACACCTAAGACACATACCAAGCACGACAGACACGGTCATTAAAGCCACAGACTAAACATCGCACAGTGCACTCGTAAGATACAGGACACACACGCATATGTACACGAATCAGAAATCACGTTCCACATTAGAATAATAAGTAAGGAGGATATACAGACACCGGTCCGACGCGAATGAGCTACAACACAGACCAGACATGGGAGACACATAAACCTCTCATTACATAAGGTTTTCAGCGCACACTGCAGAAGGCGCATACGCTGAGTGGACAAAACTGACAAGCAGAGACCAGACATAGCACGCGTAAACACACACACGCATAGCAGACGCGTACACACACGCGCATCGCGGGCACAGAAGACATCTCACAGTGTGGCACAGCAGACGTCTATCAAACGCTGAGCAGAACATCGTAGACTGAGCAGATGTGGAAAATACACACACACAGGCATATCACATGCAGACAAGCGCACACACACACAGGCAGTCACACTGACTTGAACACACACACGGGTGGAGCTTTGCATTAAAAGCACACTGGGTAGACACAGACACATTCACAACAGCAGACTGGGTGGACACAGACAAGACAGACATATTCACAACAGCAGGCTGAGTGGACACAGACAGGGACAGACACATTCACAACAACATACTGGGTGGTCACAGACAAGACAGACACATTCACAACAGCAGGCTGGGTGGTCACAGACAGAGACAGACACATTCACAACAGCAGACTGGGTGTACACAGACAGGTCAGACACATTCACAACCACAGACTGGGTGGTCACAGACAGACAGACACATTCACAACAGCAGACTGGGTGGTCACAGACAGGTCAGACACATTCACAACAGCAGACTGGGTGGTCACAGACAAGTCAGACACATTCACAACAGCAGACTGGGTGGTCACAGACAGGTCAGACACATTCACAACAGCAGACTGGGTGAACACAGACAAGTCAGACACATTCACAACAGCAGACTGGGTGGTCACAGACAGGACAGACACATTCACAACAGCAGACTGGGTGGTCACAGACAAGACAAACACATTCACAACAGCAGACTGGGTGGTCACAGACAAGACAGACACATTCACAACAGCAGACTGGGTGGTCACAGACAAGACAAACACATTCACAACAGCAGACTGGGTGGTCACAGACAACACAAACACATTCACAACAGCAGACTGGGTGGTCACAGACAAGACAAACACATTCACAACAGCAGACTGGGTGGTCACAGACAACACAGACACATTCACAACAGCAGACTGGGTGGTCACAGACAAGACAAACATATTCACAACAGCAGACTGGGTGGTCACAGACAGAGACAGACACATTCACAACAGCAGGCTGGGTGGTCACAGACAACACAGACACATTCACAACAGCAGACTGGGTGGTCACAGACAACACAGACACATTCACAACAGCAGACTGGGTGAACACAGACAGACAGACACATTCACAACAGCAGACTGGGTGGTCACAGACAACACAGACACATTCACAACAGCAGACTGGGTGAACACAGACAGACAAACACATTCACAACAGCAGACTGGGTGGCCACAGACAGGACAGACACATTCACAACAGCAGACTGGGTGGTCACAGACAAGACAAACATATTCACAACAGCAGACTGGGTGGTCACAGACAGAGACAGACACATTCACAACAGCAGACTGGGTGAACACAGACAGACAGACAGACACATTCACAACAGCAGACTGGGTGGTCACAGACAGGTCAGACACATTCACAACAGCAGGCTGGGTGAACACAGACAGGTCAGACACATTCACAACAGCAGACTGGGTGGTCACAGACAAGACAAACATATTCACAACAGCAGACTGGGTGGTCACAGACAGAGACAGACACATTCACAACAGCAGGCTGGGTGAACACAGACAGACAGACACATTCACAACAGCAGACTGGGTGGTCACAGACAACACAGACACATTCACAACAGCAGACTGGGTGGTCACAGACAGGACAGACACATTCACAACAGCAGACGGGGTGGTCACAGACAGAGACAGACACATTCACAACAGCAGACTGGGTGGTCACAGACAAGACAGACACATTCACAACAGCAGACTGGGTGGTCACAGACAGGTCAGACACATTCACAACAGCAGACTGGGTGGTCACAGACAGGTCAGACACATTCACAACAGCAGGCTGGGTGAACACAGACAGGTCAGACACATTAATAATGGCACGGAGGTGCAAGGACACATGAACACACCCATAGGCGTACGCACACGTACACACATAAACACGTAGAAACGCATACATTGACACGCGTACATAGACACATGCACGTGTTGATAGGCACATTGACACACACACACACACGCGCATACAGTACAAATGCACAATGATACATAATAACACACAGACAATTTCATACGCACAAACATATTGACACACATTGACGCGCGTACACAGATACGCATTGACACACACAGTAACACAGACACCCATACAAAGTACACACATTGATAAACACACCGACACACAAACAACACACCGACTCGCGCACATACAACACACATTGCCAGATTCACACACACATGGACACACACGTCGACTTACACACACAAGCAACACACACAGGCAACACACGCAACACACACACACAGGCAACACACACACAGGCAACACACACAGGCAACACACACACACAGGCAACACACACACACGCAACACACACACACAGGCAACACACACACACAGGCAACACACACACACACAGGCAACACACGCCACACACACAGGCAACACACACACAGGCAACACACACACACAGGCAACACACACACACAGGCAACACACACACATGCAACACACACACATGCAACACACACACAGGCAACACACACACAGGCAACACACACACAGGCAACACACACACAGGCAACACACACACAGGCAACACACACACACGCAACACACACACAGGCAACACACACACAGGCAACACACACTCAGTCAACACACTCACACAGTCAACACACACGCAGGCAACACACACACAGGCAACACACACACACACGCAACACACACACACACACGGAGTAAACACAAACGCACACTCATAGACACACACGCACGCACGCCACACCACTAACATACACACATTGACAGGCGCGGACACATCGGCGCAAGACACGACATCACATCGACACAACCACCGCACGCGCTGTTTACACGTAAACAACAACAACAACCACCAAAAATGTAAGCGCCGCTTCGCCTCATCGATGCGCGCCGCCGGTTAAAAATAAAAAAAATATATAAAATAAAAGCCGATGGCTATGAGGTACCGTCTCAGCGGAGTGGCCGCGCTGCTGCTGCTGATGCTGCTGTTGCTGATGCTGCTGCTGCTGATGATGTTGTTGATGTTGTTGTTGTTGATGCCACCGCTGCTGCTGCTGATGCCGTCGCTGCCGCTGCGCTCATCCCGGCCCCGCCGTCTGCCGAGCAAAACAACACGTCACGTGACACCCAGCCCCCACCAGCCCCCACCAGCCCCGCCCCTAGACACGCCCACAGCCCCGCCCCCCGCCACTACGCGGGGGGCGCGGGGTGCCCGACATGCACCGCACGCAAATACATCACACGCACGACACGACATCATACACTACACTACATCATACACTACATCATACACTACACACTACATCATACACTACATCATACACTACACTACATCATACACTACATCATACACTACACTACATCATACACTACACTACATCATACACTACATAATACACTACACACTACATCATACACTACACACTACATCATACACTACATCATACACTACACATACACTATACTACATCATACACTACACATACACTACACTACATCATACACTACACTACATCATACACTACACATACACTACACACTACATCATACACTACACTACATCATACACTACACATACACTACATCATACACTACACACTACATCATACACTACACTAGATATACACTACATCATACACACGACACGACATCATACACTACATCATACACTACACATGCACTACACTACATCATACACTACATCATACACTACACTACATCATATACTACACGACATCATACACTACATCATACACTACACGACATCATACACTACATCATACACTACATACACACTACACTACATCATACACTACACTACATCATATACTACACGACATCATACACTACATCATACACTACACGACATCATACACTACATCATACACTACATCATACACTACATACACACTACACTACATCATACACTACACTACATCATACACTACACACTACACTACATATACATCACGTACACATACTACACCTATGAAGGCCGGCACGGCACACGAGGGGGTGGGTGGCCAACACCACGCCCGGCCGCCTTTGTCTCCCCAGTGGCGATGTTTGCACACCGCACCAGGTACTCGTTTGAGGCTGAATCGACCTAGAGGAGGTGAAGGACCGGTTCAGATAATCGTCACCGCTACACTACCGCTCCCAACACTTTGTCTTTGACATTAACACGCAAATAGACGCCTCTAAATACACCTACACACTCACACGAGCGGGAATAGACAAACAACACGCAGCGCCTGCGTACTCCACACCTCCCACACGAACACCCTTCACAATGCGTAAACAACCTTCACAACAACACAATTACCACACAAACACCATGCCGACTGTTCCTGACCGTCGTCAGGAACAGTCGCCTTGCTGTCGAAGGAAGAAAACACGGGAGGTTAGGCGCTCAGAAACGCCAGGAATATTTGTCCCAAAAAAATGTTCTCGATTCAGTGGTTGCAGCCCAAACGCGTTGGCTGCTTTACAACCGTCTAGAGCCAGCCCTGCAAGCGCCAATGATGAATCCTGATGAGTGGGGAGGGGCTGGTCACCCCGTGGTGCCCTTATAAAACTCAACGTTTAACCTACTCACGCCGGCTTGTGCCCGCCCTCACAGTCGGTCATTTTTGCGGAATACACCACGCCGCCGTTGACCCTGGCCATTGACCGAGCAACCCAACGTTCCTACCAGCTCCCTCCGCAGGAATGTGTTATACAACATATAGGAGATGGTGGGGGGTGTGGACTATAACACCCCCCCCCCCCCATCAAACTTAATCTAATCCTGGGTGTCTCTTAGGCATATATAAAAATGTTGAGGTGTCCGGAATAACCATTCGCTCTCTACTTATCTCTGCGTGGCTTATGTAGAGCAACCGTGAGAGGTTCCGATGTAAGTGAGTGAGCTATTTAACTGCTTTGCGAATTGGTGATTTGCATATACACCCACACACCGACTCACTCTTTTGCAAATCAGATTAATCCTGGTCTCTTTAGAATTCCCACTTGGTTAAACAAAATAAACCCTTGAAACTTGAACTTACTAACTAGTTTTTCCACTCACCCACCATCTCACCCACCCACCCACCACTTTCACACAGTTGGGAATTGCTGGATATGCACGCCTGTAATTCATCGCTGTCGAGGCATTGAGGGTTGGTGGACCACCGCACAGACTTTGTGAAACAACCTTCCCGTGGGCGTTGAGGTGCCATACCCTGGCTCAAACAGAAGGCAGTAACAGCGAGTGGACTCATCGCCAGCTGTTTCCATCTGTACGGGGATCGAGCGTTGTCCCCTCGCGCCCGCGGGTTTTCTCCGCGTGCTCCGGTTTCCTCCCACTGGTATGAGCAATCGTTAATTGGCTGGAAACATCTTAAACAAGATTAAAACACACTGATGCCGTACCCTCTCGGACAGAAGTCCCACCACTTTCCTGGATAAATATAAATATATATTTTAAACACATCTTTGGGGCAGTTCCACGTTACACGGTCCACGTCTCGGAGTTCGTATCCCACGGTCGCGCCACTTGCAGAGTCGCTGACCGAATGCTGTTCGTCGACTTCGTTGCTGTCATTATTCCTTCTCCACCGCACCTTGTCCTGGTGGGTCCCTACGGGGGTGGGAGAGGAGAGGGAGGCAGGGTGGGTGGGTAACGAGGTGCGCGCGTCTTGGGTAGCGGAACCTGACGCGGGCAGTGGAGGGAGAGGGGCGGGTGACGCACGGAGGCTGGGCTGGGGGGCCGAGTAAGGGTGGGGGAGACGGAGGGGGTGTGATGGGTGGGATAAGAGAGTGGCAGAGAGAGTGAATGTGGTTTTGTGACGAGGGATGGAGAGCGAGAGAGTGAATGAGACGAGTGGGATAAGAGAGTGGCAGAGAGAGTGAATGTGGTTTTGTAGCGAGAGATGGAGAGCGAGAGAGTGAATGAGACGAGTGGGATAAGAGAGTGGCAGAGAGAGTGAATGTGGTTTTGTAGCGAGGGATGGAGAGCAAGAGAGTGAATGAGACGAGTGGGATAAGAGAGTGGCAGAGAGAGTGAATGTGGTTTTGTGACGAGGGATGGAGAGCGAGAGAGTGAATGAGACGAGTGGGATAAGAGAGTGGCAGAGAGAGTGAATGTGGTTTTGTGACGAGGGATGGAGAGCGAGAGAGTGAATGAGACGAGTGGTATAAGAGCGTGGCAGAGAGTGAATGTGGTTTTGTGACGAGGGATGGAGAGCGAGAGAGTGAATGAGACGAGTGGGATAGGAGTGAAGAGAGTGAATGTAGTTTTGTAGCGAGGGATGCAGAGCGAGCGAGTGAATGGGATGAGTGGGATAAGAGAGTGGCACAGAGAGTGAATGTGGTTTTGTAGCGAGGGATGGGGAGCGAGAGAGTGAATGAGATGAGTGGAGGGGGGGGGGGACGCTTCGGAGGTGAATGGAAGTCCGGCAGAGTCACTGGGAGTGAGACGCAGTGGCAGAATGAATGGGAGAGTTCGAGAGTGAGTGGGAGTCTCAGAGTGAATGTGATATGCGAGGAGGGAGGCAGGGAGGGATTGGTGGGAGGCTGACCGAGCGAATGTCCTGGGCGACGCAAGGAGGCTACAGCAAATAGGGAAGAATTAAGTGAGTCAATTTGATTTCTAGTGATGGAGGAACGCTGAGTGGACGCTACGGGGGTAGCAGACCAAGGGTGAACGTGGTGACCCCTGATGGAGGGGAGAATGAGAGGGACGGGCAGAGGAGAGAGCCTGAGACCGTGAATTGTTAGAGGCTAACAGGAGAGTGCCTTGAGTGGTGGAGAGGCCCACCACAACTAAAGCTACGACGGAGTGAATTCGATGGCTTGGAGGTGGGAGGATTGCGTAGGATCGAGAGTGTGAATTAAATGATGGTCACACGAACATGGAAGAGCGAGACGGTTGAATGAGAGACAAGATCTCTGAAACCAGGAGGAATGAGGAACCAGCAGAGAGAGTGTGCTGAGAGAGGTGAAGATGGCACATTGAGATAAGGAAGAATGAATGAGAAGGGCCGGTGGTGGTGGTGTGTGTGGGGGGGGGGGATGACTAAGGCATGAGGAAGGAGGAGAGAGAGAGAGAAGGGGGGGGGTGTTGAGCGGGAGGGATTGGACGCTGGGGAGGGAGGGGAAAGTGAGTAAACAACAACGCACGGAGGCAGACGAGGGGAGGGGCTGGGGGGAGCTGGAGGGGTGCATTCTTGGTTGGCAATCACGACGGGCTGCGGGATCCTGGGGACCACCGCGATATCTCACCCAGCCCCCACCCCCTCCTCCCCCCTCACAAAACCCCTCCCACGCAGAGAGGGGTCCCCCCCCTACCCACCCAGCTCCCTCCCTCCAGACCCCACCTCACAGCACCCCCCTCCCTCGCAGCAACCCTCGCTCCCTCCCTCCTCCCCTCTCTCCCTCCTCCCCTCTCTCCCTCCTCCCCTCTCTCCCTCCTCCCCTCTCTCCCTCCCTCCCAGCATCCTTTTCTCCCTCCCAGAATTCCCACTGTCCCTCCCGGCATCCCTCCCAGCAGCCCCCCTCTCCCAGAATTCAGCACTTTCTCTCCCGGCATCCATCTCTCCTTGCCGGCGTCCCTCTCCCTCCCAGCACCCCCCCCCCCCCCTCTCCCTCCCACGCTCCACCTCTCCAGATCCATCCCTCCTTCCTGGACCCCTCGCTTGCAACCTCTCACCCATCCCTTCCAGAACTGACCTCCCCCCCACCACCATCCCTTATTCCTAACCCTACCGCTCTACAATAACACTGAGCTCCGATGCTAATTCAGGAGATGACTGTTTGGCACGTGGGAAGACGGCTGAGCACGCGGAGGTGAGCCGCATCCGTGAAAGGGGTAACAGCCAAAGATCCACACGGAATTATTCCAGAATCTCACGCTCAACTGCCACCGCTTGGCCACATTAGGGGCCGTCCATAAATGACGTCACGCGATTTTGGGCGATTTTTCACCAACCCCCTCGTCACAAGGCGTCACAAAAAGTCAGACGCCCCCCTCTCAAATATGACGTCACAAAGCTCTGCCCCCCCCCCCCCCCCAAAAAAAAATTCCATTTTAAAAATAAAACATGCTTCAAATCTTCTTGGTTCTTTCGGTAAAGTCACGTAGAAGGGAAATAATAAAATAATAAAAATAAAACAATAAAATAATTCTCACGACGTTTCGGCCACAACGCAGACAGCGTCTGAATGAGACGCTGTCTTTCCCACAGACCTGTTCTTCACCTGAGGACGGCTGCTTGCGTTGTGGCCGAAACGTCGTGAGAATTATTTTATTATGTTTTATTTTTATTATTTTATTATTTCCCTTCTACGTGACTTTACCGAAAGAACCAAGAAGATGAATCCCTGCAGTCACGAAAGCTTTAAATCGAAAAATGCTTCAAATCGCTTTAAACTATTGTCATTGTAGTGCGTATTTAATGTGGTGCTGCACTCTGATGTAATAGGAGAAAACATTTATTAAAAAGTCTATTTAATTAAGCAGAACGTGTTGTCTATATTTATTTAAAGTTGCGCATTTCGATGTGACGTCACATTTCTCAAACTCCCCCCCCTCCTCGTCACACATCGTCACAAATGTCTGACCCCCCCCCCCCTCCAGGTGCGTGACGTCATTTATGGACGGCCCCTGACACACAGAGGCGAGGTTGATGGTAATGTGGAGCAACAGCTATCGCTGTGCGTTGAGATGGCTGAGCCAGGCGATTGCGTTCGTAGTAGCGGGAGGGGTGGTGGTGCATCGTCGCCTCCGCTGCCGTGGCGATGGCTTCTTTGCGTGTTGGCGAGTCGCACATTGAGTCCACGCTCGACGTTTCTTGCTTCTGTTCTGGGCAGGGGCGGTTTCTTCATTAGGGCGATTGGGCGACGCACCACCAATGTCATTCAACCACAGAGTCACGCTAGCCCTCACTGTGCCTCTGGATATAGTCCAATCAGCGTCATGTCACGTTCTGTGGAGTACCGCCTCTTTTTGGGCGATTTCACTCCGGCTGAGAATCGCCCCGAGTGGCCCCATAGACTTACATTCAAAGATGTTTTTTTTCGACCGGGGGGCGCTCCAATGCATTCTCTATGGCTTCCGGGAGGGCTCGCCCTAACGTGCTTACGTCATCATACGTAACCACATTTCATCCAACAATATAATTTGTCACCACCTCGTGGAATTTTTAATAAAAGAAACTTGAGTGGATTTTATTAATAGTGAGTATAGAAACAAACAAGATGTATTGTAAGAGTCACTTTATTTTTAATTAATATTAAAGAAGTGAAGTTGCCTTTACATGCTTACGCTGTTAATGTATCCATTGCATGGGTGGACCTTATCCTTATCAATCATCCAGACATTTGCCCCCCCTGAGAGATTTTGCAGGAGCCGCCACTGGTTCTGGGTGACCATTTAAGCCAGGGGTTGGGGAACCTTTTTTCTGCCAAGGGCCATTTGAATATATATAACATCATTCGCGGGCCATACAAAATTATCAACTTAAACATTGGCCTGTTATATTTGGTCAAACATTTAATTAACTCGCACCTAATGCGATGGCTGGAACTGCTTCTCTTTGGCGAGGCGTGTGATGTTAGCTGGCTATTGATGATGTTGCTACTCGCAACTGCTTTTCCAGGTTTGCTCCTAGATGTATTGAATTTCAAGTCCCGCATGCGGTTGCCTTGGCAGGGCCAGACCAAATGATTTCGTGGGCCTCATACGGCCCGCGGGCCCGACGTTCCCCACCCCTGATTTAAGCCAACCTGCCTTTGCCCAATCTTGTGTGTGTCTCTGTTATCATTGAATGACAAGTGAGCAGTGCCGGATGAAGCTAGTGCGAGGCCTGAAGCATGATGTTATAAAGGGGCACTGCATTGAACAAAAAGCACGTAAATATTAAACACACGCATTTTTTACTTGCATAGTAAAGTAATTGTATTTTTTCATTTGCTATACGGCCAGATAATACGACAAATCGCTAACCTTTAACACAGTCATTCGTAAAAGTTGAAGGCAGTATAGTACTAGAGTAATAGAGCAAGTGCAGAATCACTGAACCGGAATTGATAGCTTGAAAGCATTTAGCGCGGGGCCCTTGAAAGTGCGGGGCCCCGTAGCATATGTAGCTACTACACGTGTAGCTACTACATATGTAGCTACTTGTGCTAGGAGGATAATCCGGCACTGCAGGTGAGAGGAAACCGGAGCACCCGTGAGAAACCCCCCACACGTGCGAGGGGAAAACGCGTCATCCCGTCACTCACCTGGCAAGCCAGGGC